TCAAGCCGTGAGATGGATGTCGTCTTGTAAGGTCTTTGTTGGAGGTGACATAACTATTTCTCAGCCCACTTAATTTTCAAATATGTTCGATTTCACCGTGTATGAATTTGTGTTATGCTCCTTTATTTTTCAATTTTTTTTTTCTTTCATAGGAATCTCGTATAGCACAGATGACTCGAGTCTCAGAGAGGCTTTCAGCAAGCACGGAACAGTTGCCGAAGGTAATAAAAAAACATGCTCTTGCTTAGCTTTTTGAAATTCTGCTGACTTATTTAGAAAACTCTCATACTGTTGTGGCTGCTGGGCACCAATGTACTTTGTTATTATTAATTACATTAGCAGGTTGAATTGTAACTCTGACACTGAGTGATCGGTTTGTACATATTTTATTAGCATTTAGCTTTTTGTGTCTATAAATGTTTGTAATGATTTTGTATATCTTGCAGCACGGGTGATTGTGGATCGTGAAACGGGTAGGTCAAGAGGATATGCCTTTGTTACATTCTCTGAATCTAACGAGGCATCTGCAGCCATTCAGGCTATGGACCAACAGGTACCTTTCTTTTTCCAAAAAAAATAAAAAAAAATAAAAAAATCATCTTTTGCAATTTCTATCAAGATTGTCCGGTAAGAAACAACTTATTTGGTTAGCTTATAAGCTTCTCGTATGCAAATAAGTTTGGTTTATGCTATGTTTGGTAGTCAAATAAGCTAGCTTATACTTATGTGATTAGCTTATAAGCTTCGTCTATCCAAATAAGTTTTGTTTGGTAGGACGAGCTTTTTTAAAAAGCTAAGCTCGTTGAAATTTTTATTTCAGCTAGCTCATCAGCTAATTTTACAAATAATTTTATCATATAAGATAACTTTTCAAATAATTTTATCATATAAGATAGCTTTTCAGTAATAAGTATAAGCTATAAACTCGAAAACCACTTATAAGCTAAACACTTCTATCATATAAGTTAGTTTTTCAGCTACAAGCCAAAAAATCACTTATCAGCTATAAGCTAGCTTCTCATCTAGTTTTATACATAGTCTAAATAACCTTAGTAGAATGAGCTTTTAAAAAAACTCGAGTTCATCTCATAAGCTTTCGTGGATAACTTTTCAAATAAGACTTAAGCTGCCAAACACTTCTATCATATTTTTATATCAGCTAACTTAGCTAACTTATGTATCATATCACATCAACTAGCATACCAAGTTTATCTAGCTTGGCTTATTAGTTAGGCTTATTTCTAAGAATTTTATCTAACTGGTCATTAAATAATCCATATTCTTGCTTAGGAACTTCATGGCCGCCAGATAAGAGTGGCTTTCGCGACTGAAAGGTCACGTGGCGGCGGCTATGGTGGCGGCGGATATGGTGGAGGTGGTGGCGGATATGGTGGAGGTGGTGGCGGTTATGGTGGAAACTATGGTGGTGGAGGTGGTGGATATGGCCGGAATTATAATTCCGGCGGTGGTGGTTACAATGATGGGGGCTATGGCGGACGATCGAATTACAACTCGGGTGTCGATAGCTATGGAAGTGGTTCCGGTGATCAGAATTTCGGGTCTTTTGGTGACGGTGGCGGTGGCGGTGGTGGCAGCTCGGCTGGTGGTGGAAGTGAGAGTTTTGGGCAGGATGAAAGGAATAGCTTCTGAGATGGTGATGACGCGGACAACTTTCCTGATTGGAGGAGCTGATCAGGTGGGCCCCACTTATCGGAACTCTCCTCTCAAGAGGCAATCAGTTGGCCAGGCCTGAAGCTGAACTCACATTTTCTTTTCTTCTTTCTTGTGGTCTTTGCATGTTGATTGTCAATTGACATTAGACTTTAAATAATTTTTCAATTGGATTTTCCATGATATATCGAGTAAAAAAAAATGCTTTGTTATCTTTTCTATTGGTAAGATATAATGTCATTTGTTGCGCCTTTGCAGTCGTGCTTTCGTGTTGCCTATTTTATTTGATCATAAATACTGACATAAATTGAGAAGTATGATTAAGATAAAATAATAAATATATTAATAAAAATTGATTTGATTTAAAAAATAGAGTCGAAAAAAAAATTATGATGATAGATTGAAGAAAATGTAATGACTAAAATTGAGTTAAAAAAAAACAAATGAAACAAAAACTCAAAGCTTTCACACAAACTCGCTTAAAAGACCCGAAGAAACTGATAGTGTCCTCGAGCGCTTTAACGAAATAATCGACATCCTCTTTCGTGTTGTAGAAATAAAGGCTCGCCCGAGCACTGAGCTCACTCCCAAATAATGGTGAAGGGGCTGAGCACAATGGTGGCCCGATCTAATCGCCACACTATGCTGCCGAAAGGGAAAGAAAAAAAAATGAAGCTAAATGATAAAACATTTAACGATTATTGCAAAAATTTTCGACGACAAATTTCATTCCTTTTTTATACAAATATTCTTTTTTTTGTTCTAAGAAAAAAAGTGAGCTTCGATGTGTACCTGTTGATCGAGAAAAGTTGCAATATCTGTTGGATGAATGTTTTCCACATTGAACGAACAAAGAGCGGCTCTTTTCACTGTTTTTGAAGGCGGTTGGCCATAGACACGAACTCCGGGCAGTGAATCGAGTCTACTGTATAAGTAGTTTGCTAGCTCGATCTGGAAAGGCAATCGATCTGTAGTGAATCAAGTCTCTTCACATCACCCACCATATGAGGAACACTTTGACAAGCATCGACAAGCACTTTCGCGCCAATTTCATGTGCCCAACTTACAAGTTGTTCAATCGGTAGAACAGAAGCTGTGCAGGGGAAGAGAAGGAAAAGATGCGGGCTTGCATAAGATTTTCAAATCGCCTCTTAATAAAATACAAGTGCTAATAGCCAAGAGTTAGGAGCATTTAGCAGAACATTTTGTTAGAATAAAATCTTGAAAGCGTATTAACATTAAGCAATATGTGAGTGATACCAAACCTTTTACCATTTTTCGAGGGACAAAAGATTTGATCCAATTCAAAGAAAAAAAAAAAATGATGGAAAAACGAGACATAAAAAGTCAGATAATGAAAGTAAAACCAGGATTAGGAAGTTAATAGAGAAAAAAATAAATTAAATGAATGATTTTTACCACCTATGTACTCGTATTAGAACACTACCTGTGGTAATGAAACTATAATCATCAGGAACGATGAGGTTGAACCCGAAGAAAGAGTAGTTATTTTATTTTTATTTTTTTCAGCTGATTCTTTACATCAGAAAGGCCTAATCTGGAAACACACCACACCATAGATACCCCAGATATTTATTTTTGTCTAGTATACACATTTTGACCACTTTGTGTAGCTAATTTTAATTTACTTGTACGTTTAACACGCTCATTTTTACGCTACAGAATATCACCACTAGCAAGCAAATTCATGAACAAAGGAAATCTGCCGTGGATGCTAAAGCAAGTTTCATGAAGTCAATTAAGCTTCAACTTATAGTTCTATCTCATGATAAGTCCTCTTCAAATTGTACTTCTTCACTCACCAAGTACATTCGAGACATGGTGAACAACAATAAGTTTTGCCCGGCTTGAGATTGTTTCTCTCAACTTCTCTATGTCTGGA